AGGCACCTGGCAGTAGGCGTGAGGTGATCGAGCCTGGCTCCCACCGTAGCCTGGCTCCCTGGCGTCTGATGATGAGTTTGACCCCCTCCAGGGGATGCCTCCTGGACCTGCCCTGGGAAGACATCTTGGTTCCACATATCCTCTGTCATCTGCCGCTGCAGCAGCTCCTGAGCCTGCAGAGGGTCAGCAAGTCGTTCCAGTCTCTCATCCAGCTGTACCTGGCCAACATGCGCTGCTTTGACTCAAGCCAGGTATTGGATGGCTCTGAGGCTGGGGGAGACAGATGTCCTACTGCTCTGGAGCTAGCAGGGGAACATCTGACTCTGTGGGGAGGAGAAACCCCTGGTGAGGAGGTTGGTTTTTGCTCAGGAGCTCCGGTTCACGGCTTGGGTGTCAGACTGGACAGATGGGCTCAGGGAGGAGAGGCGGTGATTCAGGGCCCAGCAATGCCAGTGTCTTTAGCAAGAAGCCTTGGGAGGGGTGAGCCTGGAAGCTTCACCCCGGCCATTATGGGGCACAGGCTGGCAGAAACACAAGCCAGCTCAGGGGTGGCATGGCCAGTCAGTGCTCACAGAGGTTGTGCAATAGGGTGGGTCTGATGAGAGATAACTCTGTGCCTGGTCTTCAGGGAAAGCTTGTGCTGGCCCTGGGAGACACTGCCTGGGGTTTGGAAAGACAGGAGTAGCTGCTGTTCTGTGAGGACACAGAGTGGTCTAGCAAAGAGTTTTTGGAGAGCAGAGGTGTGCAGCTCATCGTGAGTATATAAATTCAGGGGTGATGATGGGAGAAGCCAGAGCATCTTCTGGCTTGTGCAGTAGCCTTGGCATGAGGGGAGGAGAGCCTGATGGCAGGGCTTGCCCTGGGATGAGGAGATGGGGTGGCTTTGGTCGCCACTGTCACAGAAGAAGAGAGGAGGGGAGAGAGGGTGTTTGGTGAGGATCAGGCTGATCTGAAACCCTGAAGGATGCTTCATACCTCCTGGTTCCCCACACAGATCGGACCTGCCATCCCTCGAGCTGCTTTTGTTAACCTGCTGAAGGACAACGAAGTACTGCAGCAGCTGGCACTCCAGAACTGCTCCGACTGGCTGACGGACAGGGAGCTGCTCCCGGTCATCGGGCAGAACCACCACCTGCACCAGATCCAGCTGAAGGGCTGCGCCCAGCTCAGCCGCCACGCGCTGGTGGCCATCTCGCTGAGCTGCCCCAACCTGCGCCGGCTCTCCCTGGCTCACTGCGAGTGGGTGGACAGCCTGTCCCTGCGCAGCCTGGCCGACCACTGCAAGGCGCTGGAGGCTGTGGACCTGACGGCCTGTCGCCAGCTGAAGGATGAGGCCATCTGCTACCTGGTGCAGAAGTGCGGCAGGCTCAAGTCTCTGTCGCTGGCTGTCAATGCCAACGTGGGCGACGCGGCGGTTGAGGAGATTGCCAAGTGCTGCCCCGAGCTGGAGCACCTGGACCTGACGGGGTGTCTGCGAGTCAAGAATGATTCCATCAGGTACTGAGCAACGTGGGGAGCCAGGGTAGGGATGGCAGGTGTCTGGGGTGGGGAGAGGAAGAGAACCAGAGAGAAAGATCAGATTTCTTCATGCTGAAAGCAATGAGAGCTCAGTCTAGTGGGAGGAGCCACTAGCAGGCCCTTCAGGAGAGGCACTGTGTTCTACTAACATCAAATTCCCCAGCATGTCACAGAGGGTAGCTCTGGGATCTAACCATGTCCCTTGAGTTTCTCTCAGGCCACCGTGGTGCTGCTCCCAAAGGATGGTGCACTGTGGCACAGTCATGAGCGCTGGGCTGCTGGGAGTAGAGAATAGTGTGAGTGGTGCACTTGGGAGTCCTGGCTTGCAACCTGCATGTGCTCTCTTTCTTGGCAGGGTCCTGGCTGAGTACTGTCCCAAGCTGCGCTCGCTGAAGGTGAAGCATTGCCACAACGTGGCCGAGTCCAGCCTGAGCATCCTCCGAAGCCGTGGGGTGGAGCTGGATGTGGAGCCTCCACTGCAGAGGGCTCTTGTTCTCCTGCAGGATGTGGTTGGCTTTGCCCCTTTCATTAACCTCCAGATCTAGAACTGCTGCTGCTGGGGACAGGGGGGACTGACATGACGCTGGGATCCCGGGAGGATGCCCGAACTGGCTGCTGCAGAGATGTGCAGAGGGAGAGGTCGGTCCTGTTGGTGAGGCTGGCCTGAGTGGGGCTCACTCCTTCCTCTGGGGCTGTTTAGCAGCCGCTGGGTGTTTGTGAGTGGGCTTCACTGGTGCCTCCGGGGAAAGTAACTCCCTCTGCAGTGGCGCAGAGACAGCAAGTGACTTGCAGGAACACCATGGTGCTGAACAGGCCTTGGCCAGGCCAGCTAATAGATAGGATTTATTATTTGTTGTATTTTAAATCTCTAAGTGGCAGCTGTCCAGAGAGCAGGAGAGCGTTTGATGAGGACTGTCGCCTGGTGGGGGTGTGCAGGGCGTGCCAGCAGAGCTGTTGGGAACAAACCAGGCCAGCTGGAGCAGAAAGCAGAGAAGCCACCAGCCCTCCTTTTGGGAGAGGGCAGGCCCCTCTGGGCTCTGGGAGGAGGGTGGCGAGGCCAGCTCCAGCCCATGGCCACTGGCCAGCCTGGCACCAAAAGGCTGGCATGGCCCTGGCGCAGGTAGTGTGTCTGTCCAGGCTTAAGGCACTGGTTTAGGCTGGTGCAAGGTGGGAGTTGTTTTCAGGGGGAACATGCTCCTAACTGCAGTTTCATTGATGGAAAAGCACCAAACCCAGCTGTGTTGTCACTGAAAGCAGTTTGTCATTGCCATTTGTTTCTTCCAGACTCTGACTTAACATTTCAGTAGTGCCCAGGCCTGCTACTATATCCTGCTCCATGTCGTGTGGCTGGAGCTTTGGCACTCAACAGTGGTGAGAAATGGCGGGAGCCCTGGCCATGCTGTGAGCTGGAGTTTATGGAGTGCTGCAGGTTGTGTTGGCAGGGAGAGCCTAGCTCTGGTCTGGAGTTCAGCCTCAGCCCTTGTATCCACAAGTTAACCATTTGGTTAACAGAACAGCAGCCACATCTTGTGGTGAACACGAAGAGAGTAATTAGGGGAAGAGACGATGACCCTGCTCCTATCTTTGGCCCCAGGAGGGATGGGAGGTGGTGTCTGTAAAGTACGTGCATGCTTCAGCTGAACTACACACCAACTCGCATCATCTTTATTAACACTGGCACTCAATTTAAAGCAACAGTGCACACAGACTTGTAAAAAGCTTGCTGCAAAAGCACAAGCCACATCTTAGATCTAAAAATGTCCCATGCAAGGAATAGCAGAGAATGCCCAGGCTCCAGAGAGCCACTGTGGTGTGCCCCTGGGGGCAGAGGGACAGCTACACAAGGAGAGAAGGCTCTTCCTCAGCAACCGGGTTAGTTGAGGAAGCTGCAAGCAGTGTCCTGGCTCCCAGGTTAGTTCCAGTTAGTGGCAGGTGGAGGAGTCCCCTCATCCCTAGTGCCATGTGTCCGTCCTGCCATGCCTGGCTGGTGAGGTGGAGGCTGAAGAGCAGGAGGACCTGGCTGTCAGTGGAACTTGTACTTCCTGGCTGGTTTGAGGCTGATGTAGGTTCTCTTCATCTCCTCGCTCTCAGGCTTCTTGATGTCTTTGTACCTTTCTCCCTTTGTACTCACCACCTGGTTATCGATATAGCGGATCAACTTCTTGGGAGCCTGGAGAGGAAAGACATTAACATCAAGTGGATGGACAGCCACACTGCTAGGGAAAGGGAGGGGACAAGCAGAAGCAGAGCCGTGCTGTTGGGGAGTGTGTGCCAGAAGACTGGGCTGGGCTGCTTTACCCATCCTTTGTGTTGGGAATCTTGGCCAAAACTGGGAAGGAAGTTGTCTGATGGCGGGGAGCAGGAGCCGTGCCAGTCAGGGATGGTAGGAACTGACAGACCCTGCAGCACCTTAGCTAAGCTGATCTTCCCTCTTTGCTGACTAGCAGGCTCTGTGAACAGTCCTGCCTTTGGCTTGCCCCTTTGCTTTTTGGACTTGCAGCCTGACTTTTAAACTTTGTCGCTAAAGGACATTCAAACTGCTGGTGAGCTGGGACTGCTGTTCTTACCTCTTTGGGTGGAGCTGGCCGATGTGTTTTCTGATCGTCTGCGCTATCCACCATCATGTATCTGAAACACAAGAAGCATTCAGTGAACACTGTAACATGCGTTGCCTGGGGCTATTCACAGCCTACCTCCTTTCTCCCCTGGCGGGTTTGTGGCTGTGCAATGTGTCCTACTTGCTTAGATTGCAGGTAGAAGCACTTAATGTTCCCCTCTGGATGAAATGGGCAAGTGTGTCATCCTTCTGGTGAGAATCCAGGAGGATTCCCCTGGAGTAGCATCCTTGGTCGTATGTGAAGGGTATTGAAAACTGAGGCTGTTGAGAATCCGATAGCTCCTGCAGAACTGAGAGAGGTGCCAAGGTCTGGCGTGCTCTGCCATTGGGGCAGCTTTGCTGCTTCTCAGCCCAAGTGACGGCAGCCAAAGGAGACAGAGGTGAGATCACAGGACCAAGCTGGCTGCTTCTGCCCTGAAAAGATGGTGTTCCTTTCCCACTCCAACTACTACCTGACTACGAAACAGGTCTGTGCTGGAAGCAACTTCATAAAAGCATCACCTCAAGCCCTGTGTGACTGAAGCATCAGGGCCCAAGCGTTAGCTTGCTGTACTGCTGAGTTAATACTGTTGAGACTTGGTGCTGGTTTAGCAGGCGGACAACACAGCTGACCATGACTTCTCCCTCAGTAGCTAGTACAGTTGCTCCTGTGTATCTTCAGCTATGGTGATCTGCTCTCTGCACCTGTGCTTGAGTGATGTTTAAAGTACAGGATGTTGCCAAAATGTCATTAAAGTGAAGTTCCCAGAAACATAACTAGCAGCTGGTGCTTTTTTGTTCCCTTGCATGTTACTCTGAAACAAGCCTGCAGAGGAGACAGGCAAGGACAGGGATTGCTAATTCTGCCTGGATGCCATTCTTCCTTGCTTTATCTTCCTTAGCCCATCGGCTGTTTATTCTGTCACTGGGGAGGATGTAAAGTGATGGAAAAGATGTGGCTGGATAGACATGTGGAATCTATGTGCCCACAGGAGGATACTCATGAAAGCTGAGATCTTAAAGCAGATCGATGAAACCACAGTGTGGGTTCTCCTATTGAGAATTAAATGCTTTTGGAAATGAATAAAGGTAAACCAATCTAAAGCCACTTTTGTTCCCAAGAAGTCCATATGGGGACTTCAGAGAGGTTTCTTTAAATGCGTTGAATTCACACCTTCAGCAGCTGAGACTTAATCTTCCCAGTGTTGCTGTGCAGGCAGTCTCTTAAAGATATCTTTAGCCTTGTTTGGACTGTCTCCAAGGATGGAGCTATGAATGAGTTGCTGTAGTTCTACGAGTCACCGTGTGTTACCTGAGCTGCAGCATGATGTTTGTGCCTTGAACCTTTAACCAGGACCTCAGCTGACAGTACCATGATTTACACTATACCTGCAGGAGGCTGAAACCTCACACAGTCAGCGCTGTGACCCAGCTGGTGCAGGTAACCTGTTTCTGTGCCAGAGTTCTGAAAGAAACCCAAACCTGTTTTTTTTCCCACCTCATGATTGTATTTGTGCTTAGATGTGTTCAGCTATACCCAAATCAGCTTCACTGCTTCTTTTCTAAGCATTGTACACCCCAAGCTCTTTATAGACCACATTGTTGTTCTGACCTTCCCCTAACTGCCACCACCTCCTTTGCTGGGAGCAGAACAAGGGGTTCTTTGCTGCTGGGTACTTACTTCTGTAGGATAACCTGTTTTAGTTCCTCGTGGTTGGGCGCTCTGCGGGGCCGTGCCAGTTCCTGGGAGGAGACAAGGCAGGGGCATGAGTAGCACAACACGTGGGGTGTACCTGCTCACTCGGTGAGCCCAGCTGCTGGTGCAGCACTCCAGCCCCTGTGGGAAGGGGGGTGCCAGCCACAGCTCCGCTGGGGTGCTGGCTCGGCTGTGGGCATGGCCTGCACACGGAGAGCCAAGGGAGGGAGAGGGGGTTTGCTCTGGGTGATCCTCCCAGCTCATTGCACGGAAAGTTCCTGCGGTCAAAGCTTCCGCTTGCAGCAGACAGTTGGGACACCTGTTTGTCCCTAAGCTCTGCCCTGCTCCTTGGCCCGCTGCCACCCAGCTCAGAATACAGTACCTTCACGCTCGCACCTGCTGGGCCGATTTCCACCTTCTCCTCCACAATTAACTGCACTGCCTCCTCCAAGTTCCCCAAGGCCATGGCGAGTGCCTTCTCTGCCTGGCTCACAGTACAGGCTGGGAACATCTCCAGTAGCAACTCCACCCCATCCTTCAAGTCATTGCCTTCCTAGTTGGAGCAAGAGACAGAGGTAAGTTGGGGACACAGTGAGGAGAGGGCTATTGAAAAGGGCCTCTCTGGTTTTGTGTTGTCAGGAAATTCAGCTTGCCCTTAGCTGAAGACTCCCTCTCCTTACAAGCGTGACCAAATCCCATTTCTGAAGATAACAGGGGATTGTATGCTTGCAAGGACAAAGCATCACTCTTCCTTAATCTCCTCCCCCTGTATTTCAAATTTCTTTAAAGTAGGACTGCTGTGAACTGGCTCATCTATGTGGCCATGTTATGTGTCTCCTTAGGAGTAAGCTTTCCAGACACTGTGGTGCGAATGCTTGAACTCCCGCTCATCTTGTGAAGTTATACATGCTTTGATCAGAAAGGGAAGGGACTGCTAAGCACAGTGACCTGGGGCTACATCATAAGGAAGCGCAGCAGCAGCATTTGCTAGAAGGCTGTGGACAGAGAATGATTGCGCTGCAGAGCAGGAAGATATCAGTACTGGAGAAACAGCAAGCAGAGCGTGGGGGAAGGAGCTGGGGGGAATCTGCCAGGTGATGCACTGCCTGTAGCATGGGTCATGCTGAATGGTGCTGCAGGATCAGGACCGCTGGGCCAATGACTCAGTGCTGTATAGCTCAGTAAGTGCACAGCACAGCTCATTGAGGGCGGGAACGGCGTCATTGGGAGTGACACCCAGACATGACTGCTTCCTGTGCAGATACTGCATGATAGCTGGGGAGAGAAATGGTGATCCAGCTCAAACTGTGGAGTGAGGCTAGGGGAACAGGGTGAAGCAGGGTGGACCCTGGCTAGCGCTGCAGAGGTGTCCCCACGGTGCTGCTGTGGGATCTCCAAGGGCACTGGGACAGGCTCTCTCAACCATCCCTCTGGCTCATCCTTTCCAGTGGATGGAAAGGATAAGCCAGAGCGATGGCTCATACTCTTCCGTCAGCACATAATTTTCGTCTTCCGCTTACTGACACAGTCTTGCTCAGGCCACACGACAGAGGAGATCACAGACACCAGTGATGCTGTGTCACAGCCTATGCTGTGGTTCCTTCCAGAGCCAGAAAATGCCCTCAGGTGGTGCTGGTAGCCTAGTGCTGGGTGACTGTCCCCAGTGCTCCTGCTCCTCTGTGGGGTGCTCATACCTGGGCCCCTGCTCCGTCTGTTGGAGTGCACAGCCTTTCCCCGTTGCAGGCTCCAGCTCCAGGCTCCTGGCCCTTCGTCAGGTCTTCAGAAGGTTCTTCACTCCTGCTTTCCACGGCCTTTTGGCCAGGTTTTTCTTAAAGACATAGTGATATCTCCTGAGGAACAGTCCCACTAAGGCTAGAGCTCTGTGCTTTTTCTTGGCATTAGACTGCTAGTGCATCGTGTGCCAAAGCAAATCCCTTCTTAAGTGATAAGACTGGGAAGCACTACTGTTCCTCCTGCCCTCAGTGGGGACAGCTGCAGCTCTGCTCACACTGACCTACAGAAAGGCAGCGCGCTAGCACACGCTGGAGTGCCCGAGCACTGCATTTCCAGGCCTTACCAGGTGTGAGCTGCTTGCAAATTCAATTCTACTGTCAATTCTCAGCCCTCTAGCGCTTTGGTGTGGATACTTATGGTATTTTTGTTACATTTCTAAGAATTCCCTGGTGTTTGCTCTAAATTTTAACTAAGGTGTGGTTTTGATTTTAAATTTGGGAATACATGCTGGTAGTCCCCAGGCTGTATGTGAGCCAGCACATCCTGTGATCAGGTTACTCTGATGCATCTCCCTTTCCAGGCTCCTTCTGTGTCACTGTAAAAAGAATCATTTCACCTCTGTTCTGTCCTCTCTACAACTGGGATGGTGCTGTCCTTCCACATTCTGGCTACATCAGGATCCTCAAAGGGTAGGATGCAGGGGACTAGAGCAGAGCAGTAGGTTTTGTCAAGTTCAAGAAAGCAGCAAGTAAGATAAGACAGGACTGTATGTTCTATGCTGTGTAGCCTTCTGGCTCCTGTTAAGACAGCAGTGATGTTGCTAGATAAGCAAACCCCAGACTGGTGTGTCCTGAAAGGTTGAACATCCAGGCACTTCACCATCTGTTCTTTAGTGGGAAGTACCTTTGGGGCTGATTAATATAGCAATCCAGCTGATCTGGGAATGCTGAGGTTAGAAAGGGACATTGGGATAGTGTAGTCTTCTGCAGTCCTGCATAGTGCAGGCTAGAGCACGTCATTGCTGATTTTGCATCTGTTCCAGGATTCATGGGTGAATGGGAAGTCAGCTTTGAGGATGCTCAAGTCTAGAAGTGATACACATGATCAGCTGGATTCTCTATTTGATGATGCGCCTGACATGGGCTGCCCAGTGGTAGCGTCGCTTAGGCAGATGGCTATCAGAGGCAGGCAGAAATCCTCAGTTTCAGAACTAACGTACAGTAGAATTTCAACAAGCAGCCCTGTACCTGCTGTTTCTTCCTTATTACTCTGGATTTGATCTCAACAGAGGTATCTGCAGATCTGGTCCAGTGTTTCTCATGCCAGTATGTCTTGGACAGTATTCCATATGACTCAAACCTCCCATGCATTAATATCAAAATCCGACTGAACATTACCAAAAAAAATTGTTAACCAATTCAGGCTACCCTATGAGATCCTAAATGTAGCAAACAAGATTGTATTTTATCCGGTGACATTGTTCAACTCCAAACACTACTACTGAAAACATGTGCAGAATATACTTTCTTGTGCTGAAATTGTCTGTGTAACTTACCTTTGTCGCGAGCTTCACCAAGTCTTTCTGACAGAGAGAACATCATTTCACAAACATCCCCACTGCAAGAGACAGAAGGTGTATAATTAGTGTGAGGAATAAAAGAAGTAGCCTATCCTACTTGGCTACATCTTTATAGAAAGACAAGGCTTGATGGGAAGCCCAATAAAATACACTGGTATTTCAGAAGGCCAAACTATGCAAACTATAGTAGGATCAGCCTTTGTATATTCAGGCAAAGTCTGACTTAATCTTGATGGTTTGGTACTAATAACTCTTCAAGTGGGTATAACAAAAGGATTTATGGTACTTAGGGGCTTGGGTCCAGGCCCCCAGTGCATGGCATGCACGTACAAAGCAGTAGCATTCACATACCTGTGGATTTCTGCAAAACCAGGAATATATGCCTCCATCATTTCCACAAAGGTGTCCATGTCAAAGGTCTCCTCAGAGGACTCTGGTGAGCCCAGCTCTTCCAGGACACTCGTGATGTAAGAGAAGAAAACATCATCCATCCCACTGGAGACAGAGAGAACACAGGACACGGCAGCAGGGTCAACAGGGCCATTTTTTCTCTCTTTCTCTCCATCCCCATTCCCCCTAACCTTGTGTCTTTCTAATAGAGCAGCAGAAGGGACCTATGTAGACTGTATCTTGTGGGCAGATCCCACCAGTAAAGCCAGGTAGCAGATGGTCAGTGGTTGAGTGGGAAGCATTTACAGATAAAATGCTGCATGCTGTCCTCCTTCCTGGGCAGCACTGAATGAAAGCCCCAGCACGTGCCCAGGTGCTGTGCTCCTGTAGGTGCTTCATCTGAGCTAACCAAAATATTCCAAGTGCTCAAACCCTGACTTTTCTGTGCTGACTGGTGTTTCAGCTGAGGTCATCATATTCTGTCAAGTTGCAATTTCTATGGGACACAGTGTTCTCTGCTTGCTGCTCTCCACACTTGTGTCACTGCTGCCACTGGCTGCAAAACCAGCTGCTGTGTTCCAGCCTCGAGGTGGCTGTATTTCTGCATGCAGGCAGAGTTCAAAATAGGGAGAGCCCTGACATAGCATTATGCTGCTCAGAAAGCCCTTTGGGAGCACTGTGGAATGAAGGGAATCCCATACTCTAATGTGTATTACTGGGCAGGAAATCAATCATCTTGGTTGTCAGAGAAAAGACATTGCTAGATTGCAATGCTAAACGATAGTTGTTCAAGCATTCACATCAGAGCCTGTGCAAATTATCTGCATCCTGGATCTGACTTAAGGAAAAGCAACACAAAGCACAGGAAAGCTACAAAGCTCTGCTTGGAGTTCAGTATGATGTGCAGAGGGACAATTAGCACAGAGTTCAAGCTAAAACAATTATATTGGTTCTTCCTATCTCAACATACCTTAGGTCTGCAGCAGGGATGTGGGACTGGATGAAGCATGTCAGTGTGTCTCGAATGATTCTTTCAAGCTCCATGCCTCTCTCAACCTTTTTCTCTAAAAAAGAGGAGGAGAAAGAAAACTCCATGTAATTTCAAAGGCAAGAAGTAGATCAAAATATCAACAAGATCAAAAGGTAAGAATGGTATAGGCAAGCATGCTCTTCCCATCAGAAGAATTCACAAACTCCTCCAATGTGTCCTGTCATCCCTGGGTAACAGCAGGCAAAGATATCCACAAAAAGCAGCAGTATGAGGATCCAGAAATACCAGCCCAAAGCAGCCTAATCTCTTGGGCCTCTCCTGCTCATGTTGATGCTGGTGGTATGCAGCTGTACTGTACATGTAAAATGCCCCCTCCAGGAAGCAAAGCTGGAAATGCAGATGTGTCCAGCTGCAGGACCTCAGAGACACCTTTTGAGCTGGAACGCTGTGCTGTCTGGCAAGGAAGCAGCGGGTAGTGGGTTTGCATGCTCAGTGCAGAAAGGGGTGGACCTTCCAGCTAAGAGCATTCGCAGTGATCCTTGAGCTCAGAAACAAGTGGGAGGAAGGGTAACGACTCCTAAAGAAAGGACAACCTAGAGTGTATTTTACAGGGAAATACCAAGCAGGGCACAGACAACTAGTCTGCCAGCCAAAATATCAAAGGTCTCCAGGTCAGGCACAGACTGCCAGTGGAATCCTGCCCAAACAGGAGCCCGTTGTTGTGCTTGGTAAATGAGCCATTCTGCGGTTGATGCAGCTGCAACAAGGGGCGCTTGATAACCCAAAACTCAGGGGAGTTCTAAGAATCACAGAGCTCCTACAGAAGCAATGGCAGAGGGGGGCTGCCCACAGCCCTTCTTCAGCTATCGGTACTGGGCCTGGACTGAATCGGGTAGAGAAAAACCATTCCTTAACCATTCCTTTCCCCTTGGGTCTACAAAGCTGCTGGGTGGACAAAACTCCTGGTGTAAGCACCAAGTTCTTCCTGAGGAAGGAAACTAGCCCTGCCTATAGAGAAACTGATGCGGTCACTGGCCAGAGAGCTTCCACAGGTCACCATGCTCCCACCAGTGTGGCTCCTTCATTCCAACCACACCAGGACCTGACCAGGTCTGTTTGACACAGACCTTGCAGAGCAGTTGTGTGGGTTGCTGAGAGATGGTTCCCACAGGAGTTGTAACGGTTTGGCATTTCCAGAGATGAGACTTCCAGAGCTAGCAGGATATAAAGAAAAACCACCCCGTGGTGGTCAGCACTGCTCCTGTGGGACCTAGAGAGAACCAAAGCCCAGCAGCCTGTTGGCAGGTCCATCTGCAGTCTTGGGGCCCATTCAAGCTCTGCGCTGCACTTGGCCACCACTGCAGGTGCTGAGAGCACGCACGGACTCCTCTCTTTGTGGCTGGCCCAGGGAGCACACGGAAGCCAGCCAGACCTGCCTCTGGATATGGTCACATTGAGGCTCCAGTAACTTGACTCTCCACAGTGAGGGAGAAAGCTGTGACACTGGCTTATGCAAAAGTGCTCTGCTGGGTATATGGCATCCCACACTGCATCTGCCTACAGTGATTCCTCATCAAATATTCCCAGTCTGTGCTCTTCTACTCTTCAGGGCTTTGAACAGATGAAGGTTTTGTTACCTGAAGGACCATGTCTTACTGAACCCCCGTGTCAGTGCCATTCCCTTGGGGCAGTAGTGAAGACAAATATGGAAAGAACCTCACAGCAGCGGGACATGAAGAGACATACTCATATAGAACTGCCCCAATTTTCACTGTCCAAAGCTAAACACAAAACCCATCTGATCACCTAAACTTCCCTGCAGCTACTGTTAGTATCAACCCTCCCACTGATCTAGATCCAGTAACTAAAAAAGAAACCAAACCCTTCTTTATTTGTGTCTCTCACCTGGGGCAATGAATGACAAGTTTAAAATGCCATACCACTATATGACCAATATACATGTATTCAAACACAGCACATGCAGAAACAGCCAGGGGAAGGCATGATCAGAAAGGATTATTTCTTTGCTGTTTCTGTCTTAAGCTAAGAAGTTTCTCTGCCTCCTGTAATTTCAATTAGAAAATTGCCATTTCACAGCATTAGAGGAAAACAACAGCCCAGACTTTTTCAGGTAGGAGCTCTTCAGGCAAACACCCTGAGTGAGCTCCTGAGCTCCTTTTATTTTTTAGCCTCATGAGGATCCTTTGTTTGCATTTGCCTCACTTTTGCAGATGTCATGGCCTGCAAGTGTGGAAGCTGGCTCTAAAAACAAGCATGTGTAAAACCACCTTCCTGCTCCTCATTTGTTGTTTCTGTGTGTTTTGTGTGTTCTGTAGTGGTGTGACAGAACCAAGTTTATCTTTGTCATCTCTGCAACATACCCAGCTTTGTTCTATCCTTCTCAGACATCAAAAAGCCACTGATAAGATTTTGAGTCTCACTGTTGGCAAGAATACTATCCTAAGCAGCACGTTTGTCCCACATTTTAAGCTGAATCTGCAAATGCTGGCAACCACCAAGCCT